CACAATGCTTGTTGCACTGGCGCTGAAACAAGTCCTATGGGGTCACAGTGACTTGTGTGTTTGAGCCCACTCCCTGCTTTGAGACGTTTGGACAAACAACCAACCACTGTGTGCTCCTGTGAGTCTTGATGTGCTTGCTCTGGATACATGGCACTGCTTTCGATTCACCTTTCTGAGGAACTCACCTTTCTGAGGGACTCTACACTCTGAGGGACCGTGGTGACTTTTGAGTCGAGTCAAAATTCACCTATGTCTGCTTTTGCGAGTCTTCAAGTTTTTGCTCTGGATGCACGGCACTGCTTTCTGAAAGATTCACCTTTCTGAGGTGACTCTTGAGTCGACTCAAAAGTTACAACGTTTGGACAAACAACCAATGTGTGCTCCTGTGAGTCTTGAAGTGTTAGTTTCAAGAATTCTCAAATGTAACACCAACATTGCGAGTCTTGAAGTGTTAGTTTCGAAATTTCTCAAAAGTAACACCGACAGTGCGAGTCTTGAAGTGTTTGCTTTGGATGCACGGCACTAGTGTCTCAGAAATTCACCTTTCTGATGGACCGTGTTTGCCGTGCAATGATGGCAATACTCTCTGGCGCTTGCCATATCTTCGATTGCCCCTCTATTACCCTGGTGGCAGGATCTCACCGTCTACAAGCTGAGCTATGACTACCGCCATTTCAACCTTTGAGGCGCCTCAAAAGTCGTGCAATGATGGAACTACTCTCTGTCGCTTACCGCGTCTTCCATTGCCCTTCCATTGCCCCGGTGGCACAATCTCACCGTCGCTCTACAAGCTGGGCTATGATTACAAGGGGAGGAGATGCTCCCAAGCTGGGTTACCTGGATTCCTGCTTCGCAGACGGTGCCCTCGCGCCAGCCACTATGGTGAACATCACAAAGCCCAAGACCCGCCGTAGGCGTTACAGCTTTAAGAGCCACGGGGAGATACAGGCCGACTCGGGGAGTACCGCTCGCAAGTCTATAAAGTCGTTTACGAACTCAGCAGCGTTTGTGGTTGTGGGACGTGAAGGTAACAAGGTTGCTCTTTGTAGCAAGCTTAAGAAAAAGGTGGATTAAGAAGCATTTGGGTGCACTGCACGTGTAAAGTTTCATGCAGTGTTTTCTCAAAGTTAGCGAACAACGGAATGTGTGAACTAGGGAAACAAGGGATACAAATAGCAACCCTAAAAGTGTTGTACTCCCTAGAGTGCTACTCACTGTAGCCTAAGAACCTATAATAACATTTGGCACACCCCCATAGGCTAAGTGAGGGGCATCAAAGCAAGCAGGGTGAACAAACGGTCACAAGACCAGTCAATGCAAGAAGCAAAGCAAGCTCAGGGTGGATCTCAAGGACACCACACAAATTCCGAGCACAAGCAAGCGGCCACAAGGCCAGTTCAAGAGTTCACTAGGATATATATAGCAAAGCACAACAAGCAGAGCAAACAGCAAGTCTACAGCAACCGAGGGCCTACCTCAACAAGCCCCAACTGCACACAGAACATGTGGTGGTCACCAAGCGCCAGGGCCTTGGTGAAGACGTCTGCAGTGTTGGCCTCTGAGGCCACAAAGTCCAGGCGTGCCTGGCCGCGTCGCTGTAGCTCTCGCAGAAGGAAGTACCTCACGTCAATATGCTTCACTCTGCTCTTCAGTCGAGGCTCTCGACACAGGAGGATCATGGCCTTGTTGTCAGCGTACAAGGTCGGTGCAGAGCGAGGCCGCTCACCAAGGTCGGCGAGCAAGAAGGTCAACCAGCGAAGCTCCTGTGCCGCCATGGCACCAGCGTATATCTCTGCCTCTGCACTGGAAGTAGCCACAGACGACGACCGTGTAGACCTCCACGACACAGCACCAGCACCCAAACTGAAGCAGTAACCCTGAGTCGAGCGCTGAGTCTCCACGTCGTCAGCGTAGGAAGAGTCGCAGTGACCAGTCAACGCCACTGGCTGAGTCCCTCCAAGCACAAGCCCCATGCCTGATGTAGTCGCCAGGTACATCGCCACCCTCACAGCAGCTGTCCAGTGGACAGGACGGTGTCTCCCAGTCGCAACAAAGCGAGAGAGGACGCTGAGGGGAAAGGCGAGGTCCGGCCGAGTACAAGTCATCAGGTACATGAGGCAGCCCACCAGCTCTGCGTAGGGACCACTGGACTCAAAAGGCTCGTCGGGAAAGGGGCCAGTGAGTCTGTGGTCAACAGCAAGAGGTGTGGGCTGTGTGGTGGAGAACTGGAAGTCGAACCGCCGAAGGACCTGCTGCACCATGTGTGACTGAGTCAGTGTGATGGTGCGAGCGGCTCTGTCCCTGGTGATCTGCAGGCCAAGGTAACGCTGCAGTTCACCTAGGTTAGTGCACGTGTGTCTCTTCTGCAGTTCGGACTTCACCTGAGCTAGAGCTGCCCTGTCTGCTGTGGCAAAGACCAAGTCGTCGACGTACACTAGTATAAAGAAAGGAGTGGAACCAGTGCGAACAAACAGCGACGGGTCGGCAGAGGAAGGACAAAACCCAAGGTCACGAAGCGTGGAGCGAAGAGTGTCGTGCCACTCACGGGGCGACTGGCGGAGACCGTAGACTGGCCGTCTCAGGCTCCACTGGGTCCCAGGTGGGAAGGTGTCAGTGAAGCCAGGAGGGCGGCGCAGCCAGATCTCCTCGTGTAGTCGGCCCTGGAGAAACGCAGTAGAGAAGTCAAGGGAGTGCAGCTCGTAGTCTCGTTGTGCTGCTACGTGCAGTAACACCCGAAGAGTAGTCATCTTCGGGGTCGGGGCGAAGGTCTGGAAGAAGTCAACTCCCTCACGCTGACTGAAACCCCTAGCCACGTAGCGCGCCTTGAACACAGGCGGTGATCCAGGCGGCCGCTTCACCTTGAAGAGCCACATGCCATCGACTACGTTCACCCTGGGAGGGGGAACTGCGTCGACGTACGTGCCTGTAGATCTCCAAGACGCTAACTCCGAGGCCATAGCCGCTTTCCACTGTGAGGCCCACGCCCCTGACACTGCCTCGCGGTAAGTGCGAGAAGTCGGTATGTCAAGGGCGTCGGGGTCTCCCTCAGGGGATAGCAGCATGGCACAGACAGAGGGGGAAGCGGCTGCCCAGTACTCCAGCTCAGACTCTCTGTCCTCTAGGACGTCACAGCCAAGGGCAAACCCACCCCCGACGGACAGAGGACGGGAGGGAGGAGCTGGCACCACACGGGTGGTGTAGTCAAGGCGACTGGCTAGGGCGGGCGCCTGGGCGACGGGCTAGGGCGGGCGCCTGGGCGACGGGCTAGGGCGGGCGCCTGGGCGACGGGCTAGGGCGGGCGCCTGGGCGTCGGGCTAGGGCGGGCGCCTGGGCGACGGGCTAGGGGCGCAGGCTAGGGGCGCTGAGGGCTCTAACGCGCGGAGGAGGAGGGCGCTAAGGCGCGGAGATGGCGCGGAGGGCGCGGAGGGCGCGGAGGCTAAGGCGCGGAGGGCGCGGAGGGCGCGGAGGGCGCGGAGGGCGCGGAGGGCGCGGAGGGCGCGGAGGGCGCGGAGGGCGCAAGGGTGCGGAGGGCGCAAGGGTGCGGAGGGCGCTAGGGCGCTAGCTAGGCTAGGCGAGAGGATCGACACCTACTCATGATACCATCTCAAAGTTAGCGAACAACGGAATGTGTGAACTAGGGAAACAAGGGATACAAATAGCAACCCTAAAAGTGTTGTACTCCCTAGAGTGCTACTCACTGTAGCCTAAGAACCTATAATAACATTTGACATGTTTTGATTATGCAAGAGTGGTAATGCATGTGGATGTGGGCCTGGATAGGAAACATTTGAAAGCTGCATTGTTCAAGAACAAAAACTGAAAGTGATACCCACTCGCGTACGGATGGAGTGGCCGAGCTTCTGAGCCAAGCTTACCGTAATACCCCGGATATAAGACCCCCCCCCCCAAGTTGTAGACCCCCGGGGGCCGGGTCTATAATACGGAGGGGGGTACGCTAAATAGGTCGTTTGTAGTTCCCCCTAAATGGGGGCTAACATTATAAGACCCCCCTCCCCCTAGAGAATCGGTCATTTTATAGGGAAGGAAGGATTTTTTTTTAGTTTTTTCTACCCCTTTCCACACCAAATCACATAACATGTTCATAACGAGGGGTAACAGCCAGTCACAAAAACACATCTACTCATCATCCTGTCCATTCCGCGTACTTCTTTTGAATGCTAAATACGGAGTTCATTCCGCGTATTTCTTTTGAATGCCAAAAACGGAGCACATACTGATGACATGTCTGGCTTCCAAAACACTAGTAATATACATGACCTTAGATAAGACCCGGGTCTTATAAAACACAGCCATCTGTTAAGACCCCCCTCCCCCCCCCCCATTTTTTGGGTGGGATAATGGGATTCTTATAAATACCCCACTCCTGTGGCATAGAATGGCATGAGAACTCATCTCATCTGCATCAAATTTTAGAGACACAGCCAACCTTCTAAGAAAATGGTGCTACTGTTTAGTACTTCTCTCCTCTCCAGCTTTTCCTCCTCAAACAAGAATACATTACAAACTTCCTGGGACTCTATGCTCAAGACACCAGCGTTCAAAGCTTTTCACATATCAGACCAAATTTTGATCCAGCCAAATTTGTCAGAAGCACCTTGGAGTTTTAGTGCTGACACGGCTCTTCCAAATTTAGCAGATAGTACAAGTGACAAACGTTTTATAAGTCGCCTAACCTATATTGAATTGATCAGAAGCCTATAAGTTTGTTTAGACGTCTCAAGAAAGCACCCCCTGGGCTCCGGACTACTCCACACGCGATCTTCTCCTCAGAATCTTGCCAATGAAGCTCGCACTCTCTCACTGCCGAAGTTGTTGCCTTAGCGATGTTCTACTCAAAAAACTTTCCAGGCAACTGGTCTACTCAGGCCGCTCCACTATTCTGCGCTGGATCTTGCCGATGAAGCTCGCAGTCTCCCCCACAGTGTTGTTGCCTACGCGATAAACGAGACATCTCAATAATGCACCCACGGGGCTCTGGTCTACTCAGGACGCTCCACTATTCTGCGCAGGATCTTGCCAATGAAGCTTGCACTCTCCCCACCAAAGTTGTTGCCGAGATCGATCTTCTGCTTGCCTCCCGCCTTGGCCTGCTGCGCGTTACGCATGTCCCTCAGCTCCGAGCGAAGCACCTGGTGGGTGGCACACAAAGGACAAAAAAGGGGCAAGGAAGAGGAACAAGAGGAGGTTTCATTAGCAGTACAGCAGGGTGTATCTGTCCTGCACTGCCCCCTGCCCGCCTTGGCCTGCTGCTGCGGGTTGCGCATGTTTCTCAGCTCCGAGCGCAGCACCTGGTCAGTGGCACACAAAGGGCAAGCACGAGGCACGCAGGGCGCAAACAAGGCTTGAGTAGCAGTACAGTAGGGTGCACCTCTGCTGCACCTGACACGTGCCCGCCTTGGCCTGCTGTGCGTTGCGCATATCCCTCAGCTCTGAGCGGAGCACCTGGTTGGATGGAAGGGAAGAATAAGAGGCAAGCAAGGTGTGATTTTTCCCGCCTTTGCCTGCTGCGCGTTGCGCATGTCCCTCAGCTCTGAGCGGAGCACCTGGTGGGAGGCACAGGGAGAAATTAGGGGCAAGCAAGGGGAAAGCAAGGGGCAGGCAAGAGGAGGCTTGAGTAACTGTACAGCAGGGTGTGAACAATGCTGCACTGCCCCGTGCCCGCCTTGGCCTGCTGCGCGTTGCACATGTCTCTCAGCTCGGAGCGAAGCACCTGGTGGGTGGGAAGGGAAGGATAAGAGGCTAGCAATGTGCGCGTCTCCTGCACTGCTGCCCACCTTGGCCTGCTGCGCATTGCCCATGTCCCTCAGCTCTGAGCGGAGCACCTGGTGGGAGACACACAAAGAACGAAAAAGGGGCAATGAAGAGGAACAAGAGGAGGTCTCATTAGCAGTACACTAGGGTGCACCTCTGCTGCACTGCTGCCTGCCCGCCTTGGCCTGCTGCGCATTGCGCATGTCCCTGAGCTCTGAGCGCAACACCTGGCAGGAGATACACAAAGGACAAAAAAAGGGCAAGGAAGAGGAACAAGAGGAGGTCTCATTAGCAGTACAGTAGGGTGCACCTCTGCTGCACTGCCACGTGCCTGCTCTGGCCTGCTGTGCGTTGCGCATGTCCCTTAGCTCTGAGCGCAGCACCTGGTGGGAGGCACACAAAGGACAACAAAAGGGGCAAGCAAGATCAATCTTCTGCTTGCCACCCGCCTTGGCCTGCTGTGCGTTGCGCATGTCCCTTAGCTCCGAGCGAAGCACCTGGTGGGTGGCACACGGGGCACGAAGGGCAAGCATGAGGCAAGCAGGGGGCAAAAAGGGCTTCTCTGCTGCACTGCCACCTGCCCGCCTAGGGCCTGCTGTATGTTGCCGATGTCCCTGAGTTCTGAGCGGGGCACCTGGTGGGAGGCACAGGGAGAAATTAGGGGCAAGCAAGGGGCAGGCAAAGGGCACACAAGGGGAGGCTTCAGTAACTGCACAGTAGGGTGCACCTGAGCTCTGAGCTCTGAGGTCTCTGCACTGCCATGTGTGCGAGCAAGGGGGAAACGTGTTTTGAGTCGACTCAAAACAGGCGAGCGGCAAACAAGAGGAGGCTTTCAGTAACTGCACAGTAGGGTGCACCTGAGCTTTGAGCTCTGAGGTCTCTGCACTGCCATGTGTGCGAGCAAGGGGGAAACGTGTTTTGAGTCGACTCAAAACAGGCGAGCGGCAAACAAGAGGAGGCTTTCAGTAACTGCACAGTAGGGTGCACCTGAGCTTTGAGCTCTGAGGTCTCTGCACTGCCATGTGTGCGAGCAAGGGGGAAACGTGTTTTGAGTCGACTCAAAACAGGCGAGCGGCAAACAAGAGGAGGCTTTCAGTAACTGCACAGTAGGGTGCACCTGAGCTTTGAGCTCTGAGGTCTCTGCACTGCCATGTGTGCGAGCAAGGGGGAAACGTGTTTTGAGTCGACTCAAAACAGGCGAGCGGCAAACAAGAGGAGGCTTTCAGTAACTGCACAGTAGAGTGCACCCTGAGCTTTGAGCTCTGAGGTCTCTGCACTGCCATGTGTGCGAGCAAGGGGGAAACGTGTTTTGAGTCGACTCAAAACAGGCGAGCGGCAAACAAGAGGAGGCTTTCAGTAACTGCACAGTAGAGTGCACCCTGAGCTTTGAGCTCTGAGGTCTCTGCACTGCCATGTGTGCGAGCAAGGGGGAAACGTGTTTTGAGTCGACTCAAAACAGGCGAGCGGCAAACAAGAGGAGGCTTTCAGTAACTGCACAGTAGAGTGCACCCTGAGCTTTGAGCTCTGAGGTCTCTGCACTGCCATGTGTGCGAGCAAGGGGGAAACGTGTTTTGAGTCGACTCAAAACAGGCGAGCGGCAAACAAGAGGAGGCTTTCAGTAACTGCACAGTAGAGTGCACCCTGAGCTTTGAGCTCTGAGGTCTCTGCACTGCCATGTGTGCGAGCAAGGGGGAAACGTGTTTTGAGTCGACTCAAAACAGGCGAGCGGCAAACAAGAGGAGGCTTTCAGTAACTGCACAGTAGGGTGCACCTGAGCTTTGAGCTCTGAGGTCTCTGCACTGCCATGTGTGCGAGCAAGGGGGAAACGTGTTTTGAGTCGACTCAAAACAGGCGAGCGGCAAACAAGAGGAGGCTTTCAGTAACTGCACAGTAGGGTGCACATGAGCTTTGAGCTCTGAGGTCTCTGCACTGCCATGTGTGCGAGCAAGGGGGAAACGTGTTTTGAGTCGACTCAAAACAGGCGAGCGGCAAACAAGAGGAGGCTTTCAGTAACTGCACAGTAGGGTGCACCTGAGCTTTGAGCTCTGAGGTCTCTGCACTGCCATGTGTGCAAGCAAGGGGGAAACGTGTTTTGAGTCGACTCAAAACAGGCGAGCGGCAAACAAGAGGAGGCTTTCAGTAACTGCACAGTAGAGTGCACCCTGAGCTTTGAGCTCTGAGGTCTCTGCACTGCCATGTGTGCGAGCAAGGGGGAAACGTGTTTTGAGTCGACTCAAAACAGGCGAGCGGCAAACAAGAGGAGGCTTTCAGTAACTGCACAGTAGAGTGCACCCTGAGCTTTGAGCTCTGAGGTCTCTGCACTGCCATGTGTGCGAGCAAGGGGGAAACGTGTTTTGAGTCGACTCAAAACAGGCGAGCGGCAAACAAGAGGAGGCTTTCAGTAACTGCACAGTAGAGTGCACCCTGAGCTTTGAGCTCTGAGGTCTCTGCACTGCCATGTGTGCGAGCAAGGGGGAAACGTGTTTTGAGTCGACTCAAAACAGGCGAGCGGCAAACAAGAGGAGGCTTTCAGTAACTGCACAGTAGAGTGCACCCTGAGCTTTGAGCTCTGAGGTCTCTGCACTGCCATGTGTGTGAGCAAGGGGGAAACGTGTTTTGAGTCGACTCAAAACAGGCGAGCGGCAAACAAGAGGAGGCTTTCAGTAACTGCACAGTAGAGTGCACCCTGAGCTTTGAGCTCTGAGGTCTCTGCACTGCCATGTGTGCGAGCAAGGGGGAAACGTGTTTTGAGTCGACTCAAAACAGGCGAGCGGCAAACAAGAGGAGGCTTTCAGTAACTGCACAGTAGAGTGCACCCTGAGCTTTGAGCTCTGAGGTCTCTGCACTGCCATGTGTGCGAGCAAGGGGGAAACGTGTTTTGAGTCGACTCAAAACAGGCGAGCGGCAAACAAGAGGAGGCTTTCAGTAACTGCACAGTAGAGTGCACCCTGAGCTTTGAGCTCTGAGGTCTCTGCACTGCCATGTGTGCGAGCAAGGGGGAAACGTGTTTTGAGTCGACTCAAAACAGGCGAGCGGCAAACAAGAGGAGGCTTTCAGTAACTGCACAGTAGGGTGCACCTGAGCTTTGAGCTCTGAGGTCTCTGCACTGCCATGTGTGCGAGCAAGGGGGAAACGTGTTTTGAGTCGACTCAAAACAGGCGAGCGGCAAACAAGAGGAGGCTTTCAGTAACTGCACAGTAGGGTGCACATGAGCTTTGAGCTCTGAGGTCTCTGCACTGCCATGTGTGCGAGCAAGGGGGAAACGTGTTTTGAGTCGACTCAAAACAGGCGAGCGGCAAACAAGAGGAGGCTTTCAGTAACTGCACAGTAGGGTGCACCTGAGCTTTGAGCTCTGAGGTCTCTGCACTGCCATGTGTGCAAGCAAGGGGGAAACGTGTTTTGAGTCGACTCAAAACAGGCGAGCGGCAAACAAGAGGAGGCTTTCAGTAACTGCACAGTAGAGTGCACCCTGAGCTTTGAGCTCTGAGGTCTCTGCACTGCCATGTGTGCGAGCAAGGGGGAAACGTGTTTTGAGTCGACTCAAAACAGGCGAGCGGCAAACAAGAGGAGGCTTTCAGTAACTGCACAGTAGAGTGCACCCTGAGCTTTGAGCTCTGAGGTCTCTGCACTGCCATGTGTGCGAGCAAGGGGGAAACGTGTTTTGAGTCGACTCAAAACAGGCGACCGGCAAACAAGAGGAGGCTTTCAGTAACTGCACAGTAGAGTGCACCCTGAGCTTTGAGCTCTGAGGTCTCTGCACTGCCATGTGTGCGAGCAAGGGGGAAACGTGTTTTGAGTCGACTCAAAACAGGCGAGCGGCAAACAAGAGGAGGCTTTCAGTAACTGCACAGTAGAGTGCACCCTGAGCTTTGAGCTCTGAGGTCTCTGCACTGCCATGTGTGTGAGCAAGGGGGAAACGTGTTTTGAGTCGACTCAAAACAGGCGAGCGGCAAACAAGAGGAGGCTTTCAGTAACTGCACAGTAGAGTGCACCCTGAGCTTTGAGCTCTGAGGTCTCTGCACTGCCATGTGTGCGAGCAAGGGGGAAACGTGTTTTGAGTCGACTCAAAACAGGCGAGCGGCAAACAAGAGGAGGCTTTCAGTAACTGCACAGTAGAGTGCACCCTGAGCTTTGAGCTCTGAGGTCTCTGCACTGCCATGTGTGAGTGCGAGAGGAAGGGAAAACCAGAGAGTGCCAACTCACAAGGTATTTCGGCAAAAGTATGCGCCTCTCGCTGCTCCTCAAAGGAGCAGCAGGCGAGAGAGTAGGAAAGAGGGAGAGAGTGAAAGGGGGAGAGAAGGGGAGAGGGAGAGAGCGAGAGAGGAGGAGTGCGTGAACTCACAAAGTCTGCTCGCAACAAAATGCGCCTCTCGCTGCTCCTCAGGGCAGCAGTTGAGAAGGAGAGTGAGAGAGCGAGAGAAGGGCAGAGAGCATGGACTCACAAAGTCTGTTCGCAGCAGAATGCGCCTCTCACTGCTCCTCAGGGCAGCAGTTGAGAAGGAGAGTGAGAGAGTGAGAGAAAGGGAAGAGAGCATGGACTCACAAAGTCTGTTCGCAGCAGAATGCGCCTCTCACTGCTCCTCAGGGCAGCAGTTGAGAAGGAGAGTGAGAGAGCGAGAGAAGGGCAGAGAGCATGGACTCACAAAGTCTGTTCGCAGCAGAATGCGCCTCTCACTGCTCCTCAGGGCAGCAGTTGAGAAGGAGAGTGAGAGAGCGAGAGAAAGGGAAGAGAGCATGGACTCACAAAGTCTGTTCGCAGCAGAATGCGCCTCTCACTGCTCCTCAGGGCAGCAGTTGAGAAGGAGAGTGAGAGAGCGAGAGAAGGGCAGAGAGCATGGACTCACAAAGTCTGTTCGCAGCAGAATGCGCCTCTCACTGCTCCTCAGGGCAGCAGTTGAGAAGGAGAGTGAGAGAGCGAGAGATAGGGAAGAGAGCATGGACTCACAAAGTCTGTTCGCAGCAGAATGCGCCTCTCACTGCTCCTCAGGGCAGCAGTTGAGAAGGAGAGTGAGAGAGCGAGAGAAGGGCAGAGAGCATGGACTCACAAAGTCTGTTCGCAGCAGAATGCGCCTCTCACTGCTCCTCAGGGCAGCAGTTGAGAAGGAGAGTGAGAGAGCGAGAGAAAGGGAAGAGAGCATGGACTCACAAAGTCTGTTCGCAGCAGAATGCGCCTCTCACTGCTCCTCAGGGCAGCAGTTGAGAAGGAGAGTGAGAGAGCGAGAGAAAGGGAAGAGAGCATGGACTCACAAAGTCTGTTCGCAGCAGAATGCGCCTCTCACTGCTCCTCAGGGCAGCAGTTGAGAAGGAGAGTGAGAGAGCGAGAGAAGGGCAGAGAGCATGGACTCACAAAGTCTGTTCGCAGCAGAATGCGCCTCTCACTGCTCCTCAGGGCAGCAGTTGAGAAGGAGAGTGAGAGAGCGAGAGAAAGGGAAGAGAGCATGGACTCACAAAGTCTGTTCGCAGCAGAATGCGCCTCTCACTGCTCCTCAGGGCAGCAGTTGAGAAGGAGAGTGAGAGAGCGAGAGAAGGGCAG